GCTTGGACCCCATGGTCCCATAGTCTCAACACTAAACGCCACAAATATGTAGTTCTCATGTAGAGCTGAATATTTTCGCCGCTTGTAGCACTCAGCAAAGGCCGCCGCCGTGCCTGCAGCTAGGGAGGTACTACCTGTTTGGCACGGAACAAGCGTATCCACGCAAGTTGCGTCCCATACAAGAGGACGACCCTGCTTCCAAGGAATGAGCGTCATTCCGTCAGGTATCTTAGCATTGTCTCGGAAGATGCTGCTAAGCTAAGCTAAGCAGGCTGAAAATCAGCACTTTTTGAAGGTCAATTTTAAAAAAGACAGTCTCCCTCTGTTACTGCCCTTTCTGTAGATATGAAATGTAAAGAAGAAACGGGTAAATGCATATTATTTTAAAAGGTATTTTTGGTGCTGTATAGCGTTCACGCAGACGACCGACGTCGCAGCGAAATACCATTGCACTCACTGGTTAATCACGAAATCTCTGAAACTATACCATATACAAATTTAGAATTTGGCAGATATGTTCCATAAAGCGTGTAGATAGATATCCGCTAAGAATTCACGAATTTCACAAAATTCCACCCTAAGGGGGTAATACGGGGGTTGGAAGTTTGTATGAAAGTCCTATGTTTTTGAAGTAAGAGACTTGAAATTTAACATGTATGCTCTATAGAGGGTGTAGAGGTGTACTAATAATGTATCTTTACAAATAAACCCCCTTTTGGGGTCAAAAAGTATAAGCAAATAACTAACTCCACGCATACGAAGTCGAGGGCGGCCGCTAGTATTAAATATGACGACTGCCTAGTCCTCCGAAAAGAACAGTGAGAGAGGCCTGCTTCCAAGCTATATCAGAAAATGAACAATTTAGAATTTTGGAAAGTGTCTTTCCTGAGCGTATTGTCAATAGATGGCAGTAGCCCTCAAAAAGCCAAAATTGAGTACTACGTAAAAAATATATGAATTTGGGGCAAAAACACAAAAACGAATTAAATACAAAGTCATGTGTGCATTAGTGTAAAAAAAAACGGTATTTCTGCCGAGGAAAATTTTTCATAAATAAAAATCGGAATAGCATTGTCAAACCTAAAAACGTTATTTTTAAGCCTACTAGGCTTAAACGTTTTGTCCATAAAAATGACGTTTTGTCCATATAAACGTTTATATAATATCTCATTAGCACAGATGTACGGAAAACAAGCTCTCATTGCGATCTATTACACTGACATTAATGTACTTTAATCGATTTCTTTCACGCATCATATTCAAGCTATCGTTGGCATACATACTCGCATTTCCATAAAGGAGGCCGTGAGATCCATCATTTTCTTCGGAGATCACTAGAACAACGCACATCAAGAACGTCAAATACCTCAATTGCACACATCGGATCATACACATTTTAAAACTTACATCAAACTGCACGTGAAGTAAAAATCGATTATCCATTGAACAACAATGAAAGCAATAGCCTATTATCTGATAACACACCCACAGATTGTTCGAAATATGAATTCAAACTGGCTTTATGGCGATAGAATTTCAGGTGTTCTTTTAAACAACCTTTTTTTTGTTAGTACAATCAATTTTGTTTCATTAAGCAGTACCAAACAAATAACCACTGTATCACTATTGTTTATTAAATAATGAAATATTCTTACCATATCACGCGAAATAACATTCAGTCCATAGTGTAGATTTTTTTTGACGTGACAACGTCTTAAATTAGGTTGCGGCTGGGAGTCACTTATGAAAAAGTGTAACGCTCGGTAACGTTACGATGAGTCTCTCGTGTTAAGTTTAAGTTTACATGTACAATGTTTTAGTAAACAAAATATATTTCTATAGTTAAAATTTGTGCAATTCTTATTTTCATTCAATTCCTTGTTCCTATTGTGCAATTTAATTATATTCATATCAATAAATATTCTACCGAGAAAAAGACGTTGTCACGTAAAATCTTCGCCCGTAAAACCGACTTTACAGGCAACCATTTTTTTTCTTTTATCGACGATTATAAAAGTTTTTTTTTTATTTCATAATCATCCTCGGCTTGCTAATGATCCAATGACTTAAGCTTTTAAGGCATCTGTATCAGTGCTGAAGCTACTTTACGTTTAATGTATTTTTTTATAAAATTAAATGTTACCCAAAACACTGTATTGGGAATAATAAATCACCAATAAATCACTAAGCCCCCAATAATTAGAACTCCCCTAGCGGAAAAACGAATGGCAGTCCGAAATATCCAATTAAACGCCGCTGACAAAATTGTGCCAAAATAATTTCCGGGATCCGTATTCAAATGAATGGATAGCCTTTTAACTACAAATGTTCAATTCATCGTATTGCTTTGTTTTTGTAGAGGCAATCCATTTTCATTTTTTTTTAATATGCCTTTTACGAGAGCTACCTTAGAAATAAAACCTTCAACTTTAATAGCTGGGAATGAAAAGAAAATAAGAACTGCCCCTCGCTAAGTATTTGCTAACATTTACACAGAGGGAGAAATAAGTTTTCCCCTTCAAATTAAGAAGTAAAATAAGTAAGCTGGGGTTTAGATGCTGAATGATTTGGGTATTTTAAGGACTTTTGAAACTGTATGCTATTATAGCCTTTTTCCATTGAAATAACATAACATACAACCCGGTACTCTACCGATTTCTTTGGCAAACCCCCGGGCTGACCGCTTTTTGTTAGGTAGCTGAAACTAGGACTCATTTACTTTTTAGCTTCAAGGGTAAGTTAATACTTTCGGGAATACTAACTGTTGTAGGCATTGGGAAAGCAAAATATTCATAACTATTGTTTTCAGGAAGATAATAACTAAGATTTTTATTTCACTGTGATCTTCTACAAGGTGTTACGGAGGTTACTTCCCCAAACGACTCTCAACTATGGATAAAATAAAGCTTGTACTTCTTTTAAACAACTTAGTTAATGACTGTTGTAGGACAAACCAAAAGATACCTACGATGTAAAACTATAAATAACGTGATATGTGTACCTATGTAATTTCATCCGAGTTCAAAAGTGGCGAAGTTCACAAAACTTGTGCACACTGCAAATTCTCGAATTAATCGCGTCGAGTTGCACGTGTTTACCGAAGGCCTGGCGGCGCGCCTCTTAGGAGCTCTTACAAATTTTAGCTTCGAACAACAACTTGCGGCTTCGAGTTTCTATATTAAATTGTCTAAGTTTCCCGCAATCAGCTTCACTTGGGCAAGCTCGGTTTTTCTGCTAGGTATTTTTACTGTAAATGTATCGCAACATTATCTTCTTCCGCTACCTCACAAAAAATATTAGGTACTGCTTGACATTAGCTAATTATTCAAAATTTTCCATTTAAGTGGTATCGTTTTATCTTCACATCGCGCGTGCTTTATTTCACATCATATCTGAAATAAAGCACGCGCGTCAGTCAATAAATGTCTGTTTGTCAGGGAGCTCGAGCTAGGTGTTGCTTAGTTGTAGAAAATGAAGCAACTTTGTTGCATATCTGCAATTAACGTTAAGCTATAAATCTATTAGAATATAAATAATGCAAATAAATGTAATGATCCATCAAATAGCTACATCTCACCTAAAGATAACGTATTTTCAATGAACTTTTTGTATGATAAGCTTTTATTAATTTAATTCGCACCTTCCTTAAGACCACATCTTTAATAAGGAGATGCAGATGTGCGCCTAGAAACGTTTTCTTTGGTACTTATGCCACAAGAGGCGGTCCGGGGAAACAGGTTGAATGCAACGAAGCGTTTTTTTCTAGATTTTCCAGCGTCGCGGCGTCGGTGCCAACGCTCCGGTGAGTTAAACGGCAAAAAATTCTCGCCTCACCATTTTACGTACATGCATGCCGAGAATTTCTCGATGTATTAAATAAACCATGTTATCAAAGTGTGGTTTATTCATTTAAGACTAAAGTGTAACTTCAAAGAATGTATACATGAGCAAGAAATGGATTTCTTTTGTGCTCTTAAGGAGTTCAAGAAAAGTTAAGGAAATTTCTTCCTTATTTGATATAATCTCATTAAAATGCTAAACGTGGCAAAACTTTATTACGATTCGCGAGTCGGTTCCGTTTGTTCAAAGAAATTTTATAAGTTCAAACCACAATTCAACTCTTCGGTATAATAAAATTTCATTGTGGGGAAAAAACATTTTGTATATAAATTTAACAAATAGTGGATTAAAAATTATCTAGGAGTACAAAGAACTGTGATTATCATGTCACATCTTATTCCTAAAAAAAGGCACCTATATATTTGCTTTTATAGGATTTCTTAAGTAAAGTCTTCATTTAGTATATTGGCACAGTTAACTAAATTTTCATCATTAAACGCCCACTGCTAGACATAGGCCTCAATACATACACAACTAAACTTTACATTATGTTAATTTCAGCAGCGCTTTGCGGTACTTACCCTTTGTCGAACTGCCAAATATCAAAAATATTTTTAACAAAAGCTTTATACGTTACAAGAGGAGCTATAAATCTATAAATGCGTATGTAAAGGCTGAATGACATGATGGCCTTTGTCTCCCAGTTATGCGATGCGTAAATTTCGAAGTGTGGGGGGACGAATGGCCTATCAATCAATCTGTGACGTTCGATTTTTCGCCTGCTCCGCCCGCCTCGGGCGTCAGTTATAATGCTTTATAACTTTCCAAATATGAAATATAAGGAGACGTGATTTTGTCGCTTCACATCTCACTAATGCAGTATTATGCAGTATCTGGTCTCAAGTGTATTTCTATGTATTTTATCATATAAACACAAAATATTAGCAATATTTCTTTTTGGCGTTCACATCTACGTCGTTTGTATGTCAAGTTGTGACTAAAGCGCTGCTAAAGCGATTAGGGTCGTGGACCACAATTTATGCGGATCACTTTTGTGAGGCTACTGCCGTATCTACCCTTTTTGTTTTAATCTAAGTCGACAAAAGCTTTGGAAGCATTACCTAATAGTGTGAGAAGTTAGAAAACGATAACAAAATGTTTCTTACTGTTCTATAATTTTATTTCACAAATCATATTACAAAATATCCACGGGATTCAACTGTTTACTCCGTCGATGGTCATGACGGTGGTGTCAGGTACGTAGTTGGGGTCGAGAGAGCGCGAGCGCAATATTTCCTTATACACGAAGGCCGCTTTGCGCGGAGTGCGCGTGCGCTCCGGACTTGAATAATCCACTTCGTACAGGCCAAAACGCTCACTGAAACCAAAATAACGATCTCAAATAATGTAGTTGAACTTTCGCAGTGGACGGTCATTGGATAGGTGACCGAAAATTTGCTATCTCGAGCTCCTCCGTGCTTCGGAAGGCACGTTAAGCCGGGACCAACGGGTCCCGCATGCATCTGCAGTCGTTAGCACCCACCAATCCGCACTGGGCCCGCGTGGTGGGTCATGGCCCAATCTCCCTATTCCATCCATAGGGAAGGCCTGTGCCCCAGCAGTGGGGACATTAATAGGCTAATGATTATGATGATGATGAAATAATGTAAGGAAAATTTTACTAGAAAAAAGTCCACTCATGGATTATAGGACACAGTGGCAAAAATAGAAGGCACATACCATTCTTGCATTGGAAATCAACGATACCTTGATAGGCAAGACGTGATTACATAACATAAATTATATCAGTTTTTCTATAACAGAAGACACATACGTATATCCTTGCATCCATTCAAAGTTGTCCATAAGGCTCCATGCTGCATAGCCGATGACGTCACAGCCTTCGTCCATGGCGTCTAACATGGCATCCAAGTACAATCTGTAGTACGACACCCGATTGTCATCCTCCAGGCCCCCGCGCGTTGAGAAACCATTCTCAGTTATCATAATTGGCGGATTGTCATAAAGTTCCCTTAGCCGGTGCAAAAGTTTGTAGAATCCCGAGGGTACAACCTGAAATTGTTTAAAATATAACACTCCTCTATTTTATGATTCACTTCCATTCAGGAGAGATTTTGCTTTACGATAAGGATTTTTACTATCATTCTTTTTTATATTAAAAAAACATGGCTTTTGTATTAGAACAAAATATCAAAAAAAAAACTAGTTACTGATTACATAAAGAAATCGTTAAAAATTGTATGAAAAAAGATTTTAATAGCAATAGTGACCTTCAACCAGCTCGATGCACCGCCTTCCCATTCTTCAGGTTGATACCTCACTATTTCCATATCATCCCAATATGAAGGGACCTCAAATGAATCACGTTCATCAATTTTTCTGACCAAAAAAGTTGAATAATGGTTTATGCCCAGAAAGTCAGACGACCCTCTTACGAGTTCTAGTTCCTCGGGAGTAAATTCTGGCAGTCTTGACCGATAGAAACCTTGTTCTGCACTTTTGGCGGCAATCATTTCTTTCATGATAGGAGGGAAGTCACCAGTTTCAGAGAATATTGGATGAGCGTACTGTCCCCACTGAAATACATTGCACTAAAGTTACGTAAAGTTTAAACACAAACTAGGTATAAAGTTATACCTACTCCGTCAAAATTTTATTTCCAAGTAGTTGACTATTTAACCTCAGCAAAAGAAAATATGTAAAATATGGTGGCAAATTATATCTTAGCGAGCTGTAACCGTAACCGTTGCATGCACTGTAACCAAAAAGCATAGTGTGTACGTGGTTCGCTAACCTGCTGCGAGCGGTACGCGTGCGGTTTGCAGCGAGCCGACGTTTAGAACTGAACTACAAGCGTACACACTAGAACCTCGTACTGTATCACGCATGATACAGTTACAGCTCGCTAATGAGTACCCGGCTTTATACCCCGCTTGGTAAGTAGCCGCCATAGCGTTCGACGTTTGCGATCCCAAAGTGTAATTTACGCCGTTGCAGGCAACGGATAGGGTTAGGGTAAGCCCTCACCCCATCCTATCCTCTACCCCGTGTACCCCGTGAATATCATACTACTTAATGAGGGAGATCCAAAAATTGAGGAAATTCTACACGTTTTTTGGAGAATAATGTTGAACCTTATACCCGCTACCAGCCTTATAAAGTCTTTTAGTGAGTTTAAAAGGTGCAAAGCGTTAGTTCTCCATAAAATCACTTACTTCGAATTGATTTATTGTTTCAGCAAGATCAGCATCCATATCACCCTCCGGCTCGTGCCAAGTTGCACTTAGCGTGATGCCGACTGTTCCACCCCACTTTTCTCTGAACTCCTTGTCATAAATGTCATAAGCCTTGGCATGAGCTACGAGCAAATTCTTAGCGCACATGTATTCACCTATTCCTTTCATGTTGAGTCTTGGCGCTTTCGTCACGTCTCCATAGCCCTGGTAGCATACTTCACGGGGTTCGTTCATTGTTATCCAATATTTTACTCTATCTCCAAAGTTTTCAAAAGCAACTCTTGCATAGTCAGCGAACCAATCTACAATATGAGGATTTGCCCATCCACCCATATCTTGAAGTTTTTGGGGCAAGTCCCAATGGTAAAGAGTTATCATCGGTTCGATATTGTATTTGAGCATTTCGTTTATTAAATTATTATAGTATTGTACTCCGGCTTCATTTATCTTATCAGGGAAGCTGGTGGGCAATATTCTGTTCCAAGACAAGGAAAATCTGTAGAATTGCAAACCCAGTTCTCGCATCATCTCGACATCTCGTTTGTATAAATTGTAAGAATCATCTGCTACATCTCCATTGGAGCAATCTGCTATTAAACATGGTTCCTTATGTGTCATGTGATCCCAGATATTTTCTGTTTTCCCTAGAGAGAAACAAAACTTATTATTTTATCCAGGTCATTAATGTTAGGTACTGTAATTCAAAAAATCTTGAATAATAACTTACCATCTGCATCCCAACCGCCTTCAATTTGATAGGAAGCTGTTGCTGCACCGAAAATAAATCCATCAGGGAATTTCCTTACACTTTGTTTAGCTTCAATTATAGTTTTAGATTCTACCAACAAGACACATAATGACGAGAATATCAACAATCTGAAAAGAGTTGAATTTAAATAAACTATTGCAGATAAAGATACGTTTTAAATGAAATAGGAAAATATAACTTAGTTAATACTTACGACTTCATTGTGTAAATAATATTAGCGAACTGTACTTAACTTAAGATTGATCTCATTTTTATATATGTAGTTCTAGTGAATAAAACAGTTATCTAAACGTCATCAGCACTTGTAGCTAATCTTGAATAAGATTGAGATAAATTCAAGTTTCATGTTATATTATTACATAATTCTAGTAAAAGTTAATTGTTTTTTATCAACATAAATATTAAATAGCTCTGTAGCTACATACATGCAAATAATAGCTATCTAACATAAAAGCATTTAGCACTTTTTTTTTCATAAAAATATTTAAAAAATTATAGTAAAGATAATATAGATAAAGGCATAAGGGTAATTATACGAAGTACAAAAAAACTGCGATGTTTATCTAGATATGTCGAAAGCTGAAAAAATCTATCTAGTTCATTATTGTGACTATTTATCAAAAGCATAACAAATTCAACCAACTTGTAAAAAAATTGCAAAACAGAGGCGTGGTCAGTGGTAAGCTGTTTTAAACACATATTTCGTCAGAAAAGCTAGGAAAAAATATATAACACACTTTAATTAAAACAAACTCACAGTAGCTGTTTTTAACACATCCCAATTAACATCAAAACATTTTTTTAATATATTAACATTTTAGACGTTATATACATGTACTGTAAAAATCAACATCAGTTCCATGAACTATTATTATCACCCAAAAAAATTATAACTACTAGTAGTAACGTATATATATAACTAATAGTAAGGTATTTACTTTGCCACCATAGCTCATAATTAATGCCATGGGGACTTATTTTGGTTGAAGTTATAAATTGATATGTAACTTGTAAAACCACGACGTTGAATTGTTTTTAAAAGTGATACGTCCTCCCGAGATCGCCATTCCTGTGAACTTGTTGTTCACAGAAATGATGGGTTCCACGGAAATGATAGCTACTTTTTAAATAAAATAGATTCTTGGACATAAAACGCTAGTGCAACGGCTACATTACCTGTTTGTCTATAAAATTATTATCTAACACTTAATAATTTTCTGGAAACCGAGCATCTTCACGGAGTCGATAGATTTCACAGAAATGGCGTTTTGTTTGTCGACGTATGTCTGTTAGAAAATTATAACTAATATAATGATTGTGTTGCCTACATTTTTTATAAATCGTTTAGCTGTGGTTATGAGCAAGTCTTTTTTTGTCAGATACAGACAAAAATAGCAAAAACTAGAAAGACGAAGATATCGGATGAAAAAAAAAGGCTAGGAGAAAAGAACAAAAAATCTTCGTATGCGTCGAAACCAAGTCGAAAAAATACGAAAATACTGGAAAGAAAATTCTATGTAATATAGGGTAAAAGAGCTATGCTAATAAGAGCTCAAAAACTTCTCTGAGAAGATATACCGCCAACAAGTCCTGCATTGTCACAAAGAGGAAGTAGAAGGACACATGCACCTAGTTCTGATTTATGCCCAAGTTTAACCAGTTCTTGATCAAATTAAAAATCTAGTTCCCAATTTAACGAAAATTCATTTATAAGTGATAGGCCAACTACCTATTATAGTATAGAAATAAAACCAAATTACAGACACTATTGTATGACATTATTTAGAGTCTGGACCTGGAAAAGGAGCCCAAGACGGTGTAGGTGGCTACTTATATAGAACTACTGATCGACGAGTGATTTTGGGGGATAACATACCTGACTAACAAACTTTGCTTTTTATCACTTGTTTGCAAACAAAATGTCCTCTCGGTTAAGGTGGTGCCAATAAATTATGATCTATATATTAGGTCAATAGAGGATGATTTTTGGAATTAGCTTTACAAATCATTTAAAGGCACAATGAAATTTCATCAAATTTTTTGGGCAAAAAAAAACCAAGATTATCTTCAAGCCAGGCGACTAAGTGTTTGAAATGTCATTCAAACAAGACTTTTCGTTATTTTGGGCTGGAAAAATTGCGGTTACAGTAGAGGGCTCATTTTCTGTGTTGCTTGAAATGATTGTATTGGTAACCGCAAATGTTATGGATGGATGTATATATATATAACACTTTAATAAGAGAGGTTACTCATTTTTATCATATGATGTTGCCAGTAATTCGTATAACACATTATTTAATTAGTATCACAGAAATGACGTACCCACTAATTGTCTTTGTTTATTTTGTCTTTGTATGATTATTACCGGTAGAAGTTTTATTGTTATCAATTCTGTGAGCTGTAAAAGTTTTTTTAGTTTATGAATTAAGCGTAATGGGAATTCTGTTTTCTGTTGTGATTATGACAGGTGATTATATTAGGTTGGAGAAAAAGATATTTCGCATTTTATATGAAATTCAAATCATTTTTAAATAAACTTTATTTACATTTAACTAAAGTATGTAGGTGCCATTTTGTGCGTTAACTTTTTGCCATCTTGTAGGTAGGGACATGATCCCATTACTTTAGTAATTTTGGGACTTCTGATCAAAAAACCGTGACATGCGGTTTTGGCAGTCCTGTCGTGATGTTAATCTGATACTGCCTAAAGAATTCTGAAGAGAACGAGATGGAAATCTGAATATGCAAGTTTAGGTCTATACGGCGCACAGTGGGTGAAAAAAAGAGGTCCCCTTTCATAGGATTTTTGAAAAAATAAAAATGTATATTATCCGTTTAAGGTATGCGGTTTTATTGGACATATCAGTACATTGAATAATAAAATAGTTTGGGGAATTTCCTTTTAATCTAACACCATAAAGCACGGGCTTTAGAGTTTCAAATGTATGAAAACGGAATTTGTTTTGCTCATAACTTGTCTCGGTCTTCTACGGTCAAGCTGAAACTAATAGGGATTATTACCGGGTCTGTTACGAAGCCATGTGACCTTTGACCTTCACCCCGGACGGCCCCGTTCAAAAGATAGGAATTTTTCAAAATGCTTATTAGGGTAATTTTGCTTTACGGGGTTATGTGTCTCAATAAACAGTTTGTTTATGTTTCTTGCCCAGCATTTAGTTATTAATACAGCGCAGATTATTATCTAATAAAACTATACATATATATATGTATAACGACACCATACAACTTAACTTTAAATAAAAGCGTCCTTATTCAAAAGATATGGAATTAATATAAATAGATAAAAGAAAAAGTTTTAAGAAAAAGAAAACAAGAATACAATATTGTATAGAATTACAATGAAGTCCTTTACAGCCTACAATTTAATCTTTTGTTTGACAATCGCTTAAAAGCCGCGCGCCATTAACGAGAGCATCATTACATATAAACAATACAAACTCTATTGTTGCAGGTTTTGAGGAATTCAAAGGGTTACCCACAGTCATTACCTGCCGTTGTTTGCCTATAATAATTACTGATTATTTGCTTTTATTGTGGGTAGGTGAATAAATAATACGTTGTTATTACTATTATTCAACAATGACTTCGATTATTATAAATACGGAGTACACCTGTATTTCATTTCACTTATCATTATTGATTCGTACCGTAACGTTCTCTTTGCTCAAATTTTAAGTTGCTCAGAATGGAAGGGCTTGTGTCTAATCTCGACGTATATATATATATGAGGCAAAAATCTTTTAGTGCCGACATGTTATTTCAAAAAGTACTCGATTCAGTGAGATTTTCATTATCTGAAGAACAAAAGACAACTCTTAAAACGTTTTGTGCTACATATACGAGTAATCTTAAACGCAAATGGAAGTCAGCTAATTACACACAAGGGAATTTTATAAAGAAGTTTGCTGACTGGTTGGACCAAGAAATAAAATGGCCAGAGTTTGTTTCACTAGACATAACTGAAGAACAATCAAATATTATGACGAGTTTTGAAGATCCTTCAACAAGTATTTCAACAGTAACAAGACCTAGTTTATCAAAGGAATGCACTGTTCCTCATAGTGTGGCTGTGTCGACATCAACCGCTACATTTAGTCCTCGAAAAGAATTTGCCAATTTGAGTCCACTGCAAAAAAGAAGAAGAACTGAAAATCTCATTGCCGAAAACGATTTTGAGACACTTGCTTATGCCCTGGCTAGGAAAGCGGAAAATGAAAACCAAACGGACTTTGTAGAATTAGTGAAGCATTTGATTAAAAAGCCTGAAGATGCGCCAATGCTGCGAGCCTGCCTGAAATCGACGAAACGAACTTGTCATACCGATAAGGCACTCGGTATTTCAACATCACTGAAATTATCGAAATGGCAGTATATTACATTGAGGCAGACAATGAGAGACATGGGGTGTGATATACTTCCATCGTATGATGCTTTGAAGCAAGAGAAGAAGGAGTGCTACGTTGAAAAAGAAGACATGGTAATAACTGAGACTGAAGTTAAACTTAAACTTCAGTCTATTTTAGATATTACGGTCAAGAGACTATTAAAAACTCTGGAAACTGATTTAACTGGCAGTAATTCGACTCTTATCAGTAAATGAGGGTTTGACGGTGCATCTGGGCAAAACAACTACCAACAAAAAATTGACGGCGATGATTCAAGCATCTTCATGTGTTCATTTGTGCCGTTAAAACTGGTGAGAGATGGTACTGATGAAATAATATGGGAAAACCCCAAAGGGTCTTCAACGTTTTACTGTCGACCCATTTATTTTAAGTTTGCTAAAGAGAACGATTTGAATGTTAAAGAAGAAATGACTTCAATTGATACGGAAATTGCTGCTCTACATCCAACTGTTATCGATGGTGCAAATGTAAAACACGTTCTGCATATGACGATGATTGATGGTAAAATAACTTCACATTTATCAGATACATCCACAGCTACATGCGATATATGCAAAGCAAAACCAAAAGAAATGAATGATATCGACAAGGTTACTCAGAGAACCCAGTCTGTAGACATGTTTAAGTTCGGTCTGTCTTCCCTCCATGCACGAATTAGATGCATGGAATGTATCTTACATATTGCTTACCGTCTCGACTTCAAGAAATGGCAAGCTAAGGGCGAAGATTTGAAGCAACAGTTAAGCCAAAGAAAAAAGGCTATTCAAGAACAATTCCGGACTGAAACGGGGCTGCTTGTGGACGTTGTTAA